GAGCGCGGCAGACGCCGCCTTCTAGCCAACCGCTTGAACGAGCTTTTTTCTTATTTTCTTCGTGTTTCTTGCTATCTGTATTGCAGCAATGTTTTCAATCGTATCTTCAGATTTTGTACAGCTAATTCTTTGAAACAAATACTTTTTGAGAGAATTCTAATCCTATCGCAAAAAACAGCATTCTAACGAAAAACTTGACACAGTTCGTCAAATCACATTTGTGTACATGTCATTTACCCGAAAAGAGATTTTTCATCCCGAAATCTCCAATCGCATCCTTCTTCTCGGTTTACCTGAAAAAAATGTAAAACAAACTAGCGCAAATTCACAAAACAATAGTTAGCGGTACGAAATCTAAAAAATCTAATTAAGAATATTGCAGCGATACGAGAAATAGCAAAGAAATGTGAAGAAAATAAGAGAAAAGCTCATGTGCAAGCGGTTGGCGGAGGGGTGGTCTGCCGCGCTTTGCCGCGGCCGGCCTGCTCCAGTTCGAATTCAAGTTCGACCACCGACCGACTAGTGGGGTGAGGTCGACTATACATCGGACGCAACTGCGTCCATTCCCTGCGTACGATGCCTCCTATACGAAAACAAATCCAGCAGTTTTCAATAAACTGTAGTAATACAAAAAATAGTGGGGATCAAATTTCATCTAATGTCTTGTATCTGATTCAAACACACAAAATCGATTTTTCCAATTTGTGATCATCTCATCCTGTAATTTTAGGCGGTAAATGCGAAAAGAACAACGCAAGATTACCAAAAAACTGTGTTTGAAGCATACCTTCGATACATAGAGCCATGTACTCTGGTAACCTTCACTTTGAGCGTCATGATAGAACACAACCTTCACCTGGGGAGAAGTACAGAAGTCATCACGGGCGAAGCCCCGGAAATTATGACATAACTAATGACATAACCGTATAGGGATCAATTTAAATGAGGCAAATATAGCAGTGACATTCAAAAGAAGCTCAAAAAAACCGAAGGATTGCGTTTTTATGACCTTTTTTTGTTGAGAAGAAGGTTTTTATTTAAAAATTTAATCAAAAACTGGGGCAAAATTTCTCAATTAACCTTTCTCTGAACTGCGGTTGAATGTTGGAAGTTCATTGAAGCCCTAGAGTTCAATAAAAACAAAAAACTGCGCTCAAATCTTGCGCAAAGAGTCGCCATGTGAATGCTGGTCTATCTCGTTATGGAGTGATTTTCAAGACCCGCGACGTTGTCAGTGCTCCTGGCCGTCTCATGAGGATCACAACGATATATAATTTTGCAGGGTTTCGTTGAGACCCTGCGAAGATCCACGACCAGAGCCAAATGCCTCGTCGGCTCTGGTCTGTCTCCGCTGCTCGTCTGCGTCTCCGCGCGCTGCGCGCTACCTCGCTACCTCAAATGCGGGGCGCGGGGCATTTGGCTCTGGTACCCTTCTCTTCGTTGTTCGGAGCCCAATTTCAACAATCTATATATCATATTAAAGCTCTTTATCTCCATTTTCACGCTGACAACGTCGCGGAACTTCTTTTTAGGATTTAAACGAGAAATCCTCGAGAAACGGCGTTTTCGAAAACCTCTTGTTTTTTCTTCAATTTAACTTTTTTCACTCGGTTTTTTTGTGCATTCGATAGGTCTTGTTTCTGTCTATGATGTAGACAACGTCGCCGAGCTTACTTCTTTGCTTATGCCAGTTTTTTGTGAAAAATACAAAAAAGTGCGTTTTTCTTTACCTTGTTCTCTTTCTGTGCTTTTGCAGCGAATTTTTTCCAGCTTGGACAATACTTGCTCAGAATGATGAGCGGAAGAATCCAGACAACGTCGCAGCGTACGAAACGACTATGCGGGGGTGAAAATTTAAAGGACGCATCAAAAATTAGATTGGCGTCGATGTGCAACACAACTTTGCAGACATGTTTAACATGTTCAATTCAGTTGTTGACAAGTTCTTCTTCTTTCGGTCTCCCAACAAACGTCACAGCTAAACAGCGCTTTTTTTTGACTGGAAAAGAACTTTGTTGTTGTTGCCACCCAATCTTGCCGGCAATCCTAGAGACGAAACTCTGCGTAGGAAACCACCAAGTTAAGGTTTCAGATTTGGTGATGTGATAACCTCTACTTTATATGAATTTTCTAAGTTTTCTATTTAATTTGTATCTCTAAATTTCGTCTATTTTTCTGAAACAACCTTCACTTTTTATAGGGAGCAAGAACTCAAACAACTATCACTTTCTAGCCCTTGTCTCTTGACTATCGAAGGTATGGTTAGAAGAGAAGATTACTCATTTGCAGCAGAACCATGATGCACTTATCGCAAAGAACGATGCGCTGGCGGCTGAACTCGACCGGATGAAGTTTGTCTTGGCAATTTGCTTTCCAGCTCTGCATCCATAAAACTTATTTTTAAGGAATGAACTGCGTGATTCAAATCATCGCAATGCGTTGCTGGTGCAAAAGTTAGGTGACGCTGAGCGAAGATGCGAAGATGGAAATCAGTCGAAAAGGATGCTCACTCAGCAGATTGCCGCTTTCCAACGGGCTGAAGGAGAATGGAGTAAGCTAGAGAGGGAGATGAGGGACGAACTGGTCATGCTTCGCAGGGGGGGGGGGGGTTTAAGGAATTCAGACCTTTTATAGTCTGTGTCAACGATGTGCTCCCTTTTCGATCAGCTTAACCGCAATGCTATAGCCCCGCGCCGTGTTTGGAGGCGTATGGTTTGAGCGTTCGATTGCGCCGTATCGGTCGAAGATCGCTGCGTAGCGCCCACGCGCCTGCGGAAGCATGGTTCCTCCGGAAAAGGAAACACGTTGTTGACACGGATCGTAGTACTGTATATTAGCAGCCGGTATGCGAAAGTCAGGCAGCATCGCTGCGCTTTTTGTTTCGATGCACAGAGGCAGCACATGGTATCCTAATAGTTCTCACAAAACACATAGTGTCTTATGCTGACAAATTTGCGCGGATTTACTGGCCGTCAACACTGTGCGCTCCATAATCAATTTTCACGTGCAGTCGAACTTTTAGGCTGTAGCATGGTTCATACTTCTTGTTAGAAAGATTGCCAGATAAAGCTCCTAGCTAGTATTTCAAAAAGTTTAATTTCAGAAAGATTGGTGCTGACGAATGAAGTGGAGGAGCTGAAACGGAAGCTGGTCAGAGTAGAGGTCGAAAAGAAAGAGCTAGACGGTTTCCGTGCACGTTTAGATCGAGAAGTGGCGTCTTTGAAGAAGCATGTCGAGGCTGTAAGTTTGCTATTAGGTTGTCCGGAATTCAATGTCCGGTTTATATTTAAACCGCAACATGTCATAAACTTCTCAGTTTTAAATACGTTTTGAAACATCATTCGACAGAGCAAAGCAAGCTCTACAAAATGGCAGTTCCATTTTGCACCAGCTCTGATCCACCGAGGTTGAAGTCAAAAGCTAAAACCTTTCAGCTGCTGGAAAAATCGAGAAGAAATCGTAATTCAGGTCATAAAAGTCCTACAAAAATTCTAAATTGCTCACATAAATACTATCCACATAAGACATCTGTATACGCTGTTGGCGAATTTTTCCACTTACAAGGGAATGGTCAGAAGTCGAAGTGGCTAATCCATACAAGCTGCATACCATTAGATGCAGCATAAAAGGCTGACTTCAAATCTGTCTTCCTTATCTGCAGATCACTTTTGTGGATGGAATTATAAGCCGTTAAAGGCCATTATTTTGCTGAGAACTTTTGCATGTAGAGTGCAAACTTGGCGCAAAAGCCATTCTCGGCTCAGTGTTGGACCAAAGCATGCAACTAGATCACTCAATATGACCCGTACTTAGAGGTGAGCTGAAAGAGCTGTGCCTATGTCGCGATTTTTGTATACGGTTTTTTTCGCAGTAAAGCTGCACATAACTTCGTCTACAAAGGCGCTTTGCAGATATGGAAGACAGATTTGAAATCAGCATTTTATGCTGCATTGAATGGTGTGCAGGTATGGATTGGCCACTTCGACTTCTGACCATTCCCTTGTTAGAAACCAAGAAAACGATTTTCATGCTTCTGCCAAAGTAATGCTGTGCTGTTTGCACATAGTATCTGTATACTACTGACATGTAGAAATATAAACATGAATTTTTAGCGCTCCACAAGCTTTCTTTTCCAAAAAAATCGAATTTTAGAGTAGAATACGCGACTAGGGAATTGTATCTGATATTTCTTGAGAAGTAAAGCTTGTAGAGAGGTAAAAATTTGCATTTTTACTTCTGCAGGGTAGTATACAGCTGCTTATGTAGGGACAGCACAGCATCACTTTGGCTAAAGCGTGAATACTTTTGTTTTTTTTTGATTTCTAAGCAAGAAAAAAATGCAGCAATGGCGTATATAAATGTCTTATGTGAATAGCGTACATGTGGGCGAATTGCAATTTTTGCAGAATTTTTAAGGACGTGAGTTATGATTTTTCTCGATCTTTTGACCACTTGGTGCTTTTTTAACACGTTGACGACAACGCGCATTTTTAGTTGTCTGCCTTGTGGGACAATGCCTTCCACGAACGAGTCGAAAATTTCTAGCTAAAATCAAGCAGATCGTCATCTTAACTATACCTACACAAATTTTTGAAAGCAGCCAAGAAACGTCAAGGTATTTTCTAGGGTTAGAGCGTAAAAGACCTCAGGGAACGGATGTACCCAGTAATTGTTATTATTTCAAAAAATTTATGCCGTGACCCATCATGTGGGTCACATTGTCCCACGTGGCAGTCATTGCATGACCTACCATGTGGGTCACGTTGTCGTCAATGTGTTAAATTCTGGTTTGAAACTCGAGGCGGATCAGAGCTTATACAAAATCAAGATTGCCATTTTGTAGAGCTTGTTTCGCTCTGTCGAAAGGTACTTTGCAACCTATCTAGAAATGAGAAGTTTATGACTTCAGGTCAAATTCAAAACGGACATTAATTTCTGGACAACCTTATACACCTGCTATTTTTTTCAAATATCCATACTTCCTGATGGGTCACTTTTAGCTGGAGGAAGAAAAAACACGCACCGAAATAGCTGTTCGTAACACGCTCAGCGAAAGAAAAGCCATCGACAAATCGCTCGCAGCCATGGAAAAGGAAAATACAGAACTGTACAGAAATTGTGCCCAACTCCAATCCCAGGTTTGAAAATCGTGCAGTTAAACACATGAAAGTGAATATTTTTTTCAGATTGCCCAGCTAGAAAGAGATACCGGTAATTGGAGTACGACTAAACTAATGAAGGAACAAACTGAATTGGAATCTAGAATCTCAAAGCTTTCTGTAGAAAAAAACAATTTTCAGGACAGGGTTCTATGGGAACAAAAATGAACTTTCTAACAAGGGAAAGGTCAGAAGTCGAAGTGACCAAACCAAACAAGCTGTATACCATTCGATGCAGTATAAAACGCTGACTTCGAATCTGTCTTTCTTATCTGCTTCCCGCTTCTGTGGACGAAGCTACAAGCCATTAAAGACCATTATTCTGCCAAGAAATTACGCATGAAATTGAAAATTTAGCCGTGGTGAGCCACGTTCGCCTTAATGCTGGGCCAAAACATGCAGCTAGCCTACTTCGAATTATTAAAGAAAGAAGCTGAGCTAAAAGTGCAACAGTGTGCTCAATTTCGCTGTATTTATGTGTGATTTTTTCACAATAAAACCGCTCGTAGCTTCGTCCACAGAAGCGGGAAGCAGATAAGAACGACAGATTCGAAGTCAGCGTTTTATACTGCATCGAATGGTATGCACCTTGTTTGGTTTGGTCACTTCGACTTCTGACCATTTCCTTGTAAGTTTCCTTCGTTGTTTGGGCAGAGACATGCTTCAAAGAATCATGAATGACCGCATGAGAGGGTGGAGGGCCGGGCTAAGCCAAATCGCTGTTCTGGAAAATGTGCTGCACCCGTTAGCTAAGAGATCTACTGGATTGTGAAACCATGTGGTCGTATTACTGTTAGTGCACATTTCAACACCTCGAATTTGCGGTTCGACGCGTTTCTGGTAGAAAATGTGGACAGATACGCAGAGGTCAAACCGCTCCGCGCCTGGCCGCAAAATTTTAATTTTATGCGTCCTCATCCCCTCTATCGCCTACTGCGCCTCTCCTCAGACGTAACCTTCTTAGAACGAACTTGCAATCAAATATGGAATGGAAGCAAAGTTCGATCATAATACCTTTGTTATGTTGCCTTGTTCTCACATGTTCTCCAAAAAAATCTCCTCTGTAATTCCCCTTTGTGGGACAGATTTATAACGATGGAATGCTTGAAGATGGTTGTGTGATGGCTGTTATCTTGATTTCCTCAGTTTTAGCTTGAAATGGTCATTGAACAAAAGGAACAGACCTTTGCTCACAAACGGAAGATGTTGGAATCGCAGCTGGCGCTTCTCCGAGAGCAGCTGGACGTCGAGAGAAAACGCCGACTTGAACTGCAACAGCATGGACGATCCGAACCAGCGGAGCGACAGTATAGTCGAGCTGCGGATTTCCGCATGAGCAGAAAGACACTTCAGCGGCAGAAAAGCCCGTTTCGGGTATGAACGCTTTGCTGATTTAGCGCGAGCCGAGACTCGATGGAAACCCGGTTTCTGCTCAAATTCCTTATGTTGGGACTTGCTTTCGCTTCTGAACTCGCTTCACTTGGTTTGACCCCGTTTTTCTAGTTCTACCCGTATGTGATCCCCCTACTAGTCAGTCCTACCGGCTACATACCACCTGTTGAGTGTGCCTATATAGGCGTGTCAATTTACGTAATACTAGTTTTGTTATATAGTTGTTTGCTAATGCTTACTGAGTCTTTCGTTCATTTGCTGATCTCCTCACAAAGCTTTGCCATAATTTTTCTGCCATTTTTTTGCATTTATAGAGCCAATATCAAAGTCCAAATCTTTCCTGTACACTGCGATTAGGAGAGTTCTATGGTTTTTTGAATGAATATGATTACTTACAATTCTGTTCTTGTTCCAACAAAAATGTCTCCAGTTTGCGTGCCTGCTTGTTCTTGTCCTGTTCAGTTCTGCATGTCTTTTGTTTGCCTTAACCTCAGTTTTGTCCAACTTCTCTGTCTCTTCTTGAACTTCCGAATGTCACATCCAAGATAGGGCAGATAGTTGGAGCAAAAGTGCAATGACAAAATTTGCACCATAACTACTTATTTCTGAGCCTAATAGTGGCGCTGTACAATGGGTGTAGCGAGGTCAGCGCCGCGTATTGCAGTCACACACCTTCGCGCGGGCACTACCGTACGCAGCGTGCGAGGACCATGCCGCGCAAATCGGTATTTCTGAGCTTTCCCTGCCTGAAACTCTGCGTCAGTACTTCCTGAAATCTCTAAAAGTATCACTGCGCGAATGGAAGACAAAATGGAGGTTCGAGGTCTTTTGTTTTGGAGTTCAGTGGATTTGTATTTTTCACTGTGCTAGCAGCGAATTGTTAAACACGGTTGGATTAATTGCTTTATTCCCAAGCCGGGCTCTTCGGCAAAACTTCGACAAATACTACGACGCCGGGTTCTTCGGCTTGCAACTTAATTACAACTGGCGTTCCAAAAGGGAGGAGCCAGAATTGTAGGTATTCGGAAGGCTGCCAGCTAGCAGTTTCGTTTGTTAAATGCAAATCGCAAACAAGACAAAAACGCTGTTTTGCGAACTGGGTTGCGGAAACGTACAAAACATCAGCACATGATCATCGGGTAACACATTACGGACCGTAATTTACGGTAGCGTCGGCTACGGCATCTTTCAAAAGACAATGTAATCATTTGTTCTGAGAATTCCCAACGATCGGTTTTCTCTCTCCTTTCAGCTAAAGGTGAATATCGTAAGGTGTGATCGTATATCGTGTAGGTTAAGAGAACAGTTTGAATGAGCAGCACGTTGGCGCAGTTCACTAAAGCCGAAGTGATATACGATAATGTCCGTTGAAACACGAGGCGATATAATGGGTCATGACATTTGGAATCAGCCATCCGAACAAGCCTTTATGAGATGAAAGATGTCTTGAGGAAAAACGCTCACAGATTTGCTACATCCTTCCTCTGCAGCGAAAAAAAATAGTATTCGGTATCAAGGCAGATCGCATATGAGCATGGAAGCAAAAAAAAAGACAATTTGCTGCTACAAAAACGGAAAATTACGAGATACAATGATAAAAGGGTCTGCGATCTGTGCGCAGCATAGTCCCTGCACGCTGCGCGTACGGTAGCGCTCGCGCGTATATGTGTGACTGCACTACGCGGCGCTGGCCCCGTTAGAGCATTGATACATTCTAGTACAGTTGAGTAGATTTAGCGGTAAATATAGTGTGCTTGCACAGAAGGTGAAATGCGGTGAAATTTGCGCGTAAGAGGTAGCCACGTCAGTACCGCGGATATCTTGCGCGCGCAATTGGCCGACGTCACAGTCGAAACTATTTTTTCACGCGCCAATTTCACCGCATTTCACCTTTTGTGCAAGCACACTATATTTACCGCTAAATCTACTCGACTGTAGATTCTTTGCTCAATTCAGAATTGCGCGTGAACAAATAGATGCGCTTGTAATGCCGACAGCTTGCGCGCGCAAGATACCGGCATTACTGGCGTGGCTATTTGTTCATACTCCAGTTTTACCGCGAGATCTTGGCACCACAAGCACACTACTTCGAGCGGAGAATGTACTCGGCTATATCTACTATTAAAAAAGCCCGCTCTAATATTTTGAGGTCTGTTAATGGACTGCAAAGGCAGTGTCCGGGCAGACGTGGGAGCACCTCATTCCCAACGCATTACTGGAGCGAGCCATAGCCCGATTGCGACTGCAAAGTATTGCTTCTAAAGCGGGAAAGTTTTCAGAGGTCTGAACATAGCGCCCCTTTATTCAGTTTCGTCTTCACAAAGCAGGAAATCTTGGCAACGGCCATGCCACGGTACGATTTCCTGCTTTGGTGGGAACGAGGTGGAATTAAACCGCGGGTACGTCCGAACTTCTGGAGCGCCAGTGTGTTGCAAAGTTCTATGGTTTGCATCGGGACCGCTTCAGTAGTCTTTTGGAACTGAAGTGCTCTAAGATCTGTCCGATTATATTGAGCATAATCGTAACTTGTACCAAATTAGGCATTTTTCGCAAACTTAATTTCTTGTTGAACATGAAAATTTCTCCTGACTCAAAGAAATTACTTCCACAATTTTGTTACTGGTGATAAGCAGTGCGAAAAAACTCTTTTAGCATTAAAGATTTCTTGTAAAATTTTGTGAGCGTTTGTAAGTGGGACATTGTCGACAAATCTAACGAAGTCTAGCAGAAGCAGTTCCATACATTCCTACTGCCCTTCGCCGCTTGATATCCTTTTCACATAGAACATCTATAGGGTTTTACATAACTATCGCGATTTTAGGGCAGTGTACTGTTAACTTCACTTGCTGTTGCACTGCTTATCTTTTTCAGTTACGGAAAAAATGCAGCCTCTCATATTCATCTGTCAATAGTCCACCATTTGAAATTCCAAGTTTTCAAGCTAGTGCCGTCGCGTTTTTGCTTCGATTATAGTCGCTATATATGTTAGAGAGCTTTCTGACAGCTTGCAAAAGTCCGTTTTCACTTTCACTGAGCGTCAATAGTCGAGCACTGTAAAGAGTAGTCCAGGACGAAGGCAGATGTCTATACGAGGAAAGCGCGTGCAAACGTGGTGTGAGCAGTTGTGCCAGCAGCTCAACCGCCGCGTTTGCTTCCGCGTTTCAAAGTAGAACTATTTGCCTTCGTCCGGAACTAGTCTTTACTTCACACTGCAACGTTTGCCGACGAGTCTCTGATGTCAGCACGTTTCAGGTTCATCGTGCGGTCTCTTGCGAGATGAACCAACGCTCGTATCGGTACGAGGCGTCACTTTCTTCGATCTCAACCTGCTCGTACCTCACGAATGACACCTCGACTAGTGTAGAGACCACCACGATCGTGTAAGGCGGCGCTTACAACGATTCTAGCCTCCCCCCAGCTGTGCAATCATCAGTCCGGAACTAGTCATTTTCTCTTCATTTGTAGTTGTTTACACACTTGTATCTGATGTGCCTTTTGTTTGTTGTGTGAACCCCACCCTGTAGAGCTCATTTTTCGTTTGGGAATACTGCAAATAGCCTTGCATGGTGCATACATACGTGTGATTATATAGTGATAATCTGAACTCTTTCTCCCCCAATTGCACACTGCTTTCAACCTCA